GTCATCCTATGTCACTCAAGGTAATGCAAGGACTGGTAGAAAAATTTCCCATAATTTTATTAATAGACCCCACAGAACCAATGAATTTCACTTGTTAGACTTAAGCACATCTCGACAAATTCTTGTCACTGCGTCATAATGCCAAGCTTCATAGAGCAGGTGTAGCTTTAAGGACCAATTAGACTTTTCCTATTTTCTCAATTCACTTAGACAAGCAAGTATTTGCTGTTACTCTCGACATCTTAACTAATTTTAGGTTGGAGTACGTACCAAATCTACCAAGAGCAAATGACTCTCTGGATGACTTCATATCGTTGTTGAATTCATTCCTATTTTGAGTGGAAAGGTGTATGTATCGAAGAGATTCAAAGGTTTATCTCACCGGCAGGCGATGAGGCTTCATTGGAACACTTCAGCTGACGCTGTCTCCGAAGCAATCTTCTTCGAGTCCCGTGTAACTGTGCTGAGCTTTGTCAGACATCAGAGCAGGATATCATTATTACAAGTATGCTTTCGCCCTGGAATCAAGGGCGATCGCCTCGGAGACGGCGTCAACAAAGATGCTACAGTAAAGCCAATCGTCAGCTGACCATGAGGAATCCTCCGTCGTATTCTGGTGTGACCGACCTTAGAATCTGAAATGGAAGTGTGCTCAACATGTATAAACCGAGAAATGTCTTCAAACTTTTGCTTTTGTACCGACATCCACTACTCCTTTCGTGCAACACTTTTGTCCATTTCAAGTCATTTGAGAAGGGAAAATGTTTCTGATACAGAGAGTCGCAAGTGGATCCCACCATGACACGATAGAGAACTCCTCTTTGCCAGCTCTTAGTTGGAGTTTTATGGAGTATTCTTGATGTTTTGTGGATAGCAGGAACCAGAAAGTTCCAGGAGAACTCAATAGGTATTAGGCCGAAAGGAAACCGCCGTCGCCTCCTTGTGAGATTCAGCTCTGAATCTCTTTATCAGACAAACTTTAATTCGACACGGAATTGATCTCAGCAAATATAAACCGAGAGGTTGTTCGAAACACAAATTTATTTGCACTACTTCATACAGAAAGTAAGTAATACCTTTGGTAGTAGGTTCAATGACCATATTTGAGAGAGATCTAACTACCCGTGAAATTCACATCTTTCCTGTGTCCTATATGTGACCACATGTGGCTGCGTAGCCGAGTGGTAAAATGGCGTC